TACTTTGGAGGTGAAAATCTTGTCAAAAAGAAAGATTTGATGGAGTGCTTTGCTAACAAGAATTGGGGTCACGACAACGATGGGGATGCCTTGAAGATAGCTGTGTTGTATTTCATACACACCTTCATTTTTTCATCCGAGAAGAACAACACAACTATCCCAAGGCTATATTTTGACTTGGTAGAGAGTAGGCGCTATTCTGAATATCCATGAGGTTTAAAAGCATTTGAAAGCCTGACAAAATCTATTAGTAAGAAGATGGATACTCAGAAGAAGTACTACGGGATAGCTGGGGTGCCCCTAGCTATGCAAGTGTGATTTTATGAGTGCTGTTCAAATATTGATCTCAAAATTGCACTTCGAATTGATAATATGGTCCCTAAAATACTCAATTGGAGAACCACCGGAAATCAGCCAAACTTTGGTTATTTGATCAACGACATGTTCAATGACAAGGAAAACATGATAATTTACAATTTGTATCGTGGCTAGTTTACATTTTATTAATCATTAATGTTGCATACATTTGCAGACAGTTATTGCTGCATACAACTGCATACAGCTGAATACAGTTGTTGCTGCCTTCATTATTACTGCTTCATACAGTTGCATATAACTTACTAATCATTACTGCTGCCTTCATTTGAATAAAAATTACAGTTTGATTCCAGATTTGCATACATACATTGTAGTAAGACTTTGATTGTATTTCGTTTTTTAGATTGTTTACAAGGACATCCATCCAACGAGTATAGAGCTTGCCGTTATTCAGATTCCTCCAGTAGGCGTTGTTGTTGAGAACATTCCTGCTCCTACTCATTCAGACAAGTCGACAGAGGATTCAGATGACTTTTCTCCTACACCTGATCTTCAGTGTAAGAAGAAACATGTTGCAAGTGTTGGTCCATCTTCATCACCGCCCCATAAAAAACGCAAGGAACAGATTATTCATCCATCAAATACAGAGAATCAATCCAAGATTCCTCCTGTTGGTGTATCTGAAATTGCACAAAATGTATTGCATCACAATCAGCTGGCAGATTCCAAAATTGATGAAGTATCTTCTTTGAGGAAAGACCTAAATTCATTCAAAGAATACATGAGTTTTTTATCCACACATTACACATTACAGTTTAGTGCTTAACATTTGTATATTTTTGCCACACTTTTCTAATTATTTCTGTCTTGCTAAGGTTGTGGGCGAGTTCAAGTCTCTGAGATCATTGATCAATGATAACTTTAAGATGCTTTCTGACCATCTTCAAGACAATCAGCAAAAAAGAAATCTTACACCAGAGAAAGAAAACCACAGGGAAACGTGATGATGGTATTGAAATGCCATATGATGCCAACTTGCAAGATATTTCAAAAGGTCACAGACAGACTGATACAGTTGTCGGGGATAATGTTGAGGTTTAACATTTTTAACATCTTTAGCATATGTTTATATCTCCTGCTTTCTCTTATTCGGATTAATCATATATAAAACAATTTTGTAACATTGTGAAATACAAGTATATATAGAATAATTCAGTATTTTTAATTATCTTAATCCTATATGCATTTGTATTTTCCTGACTTTATTTCTACATAATTATTGTGCTCTTCTCATGTTGTATCTACATGTATTCATATATATATTACAACATGATATTTGTATACATTTAAGCTGTATTTTACTGTATTCAGATGTATTTTAAAAGTTCTCAGTAATTGTAATTAACAGATGTATATCAGTACTATGTATTTAATTGCCTCATTAGTATTGAATAACAACATGTAATTAAATGTATTCAGATGTATTTTAACATTACTATGTAGTTGTAAATTAAAGATGTATTTAACTGAATTTGTATGATGTATTTAATGGCCTTATTATTTTTGAATATCTGCTGTATTTAACTATATTCAGCTGTATTTTAATGTATTCAGATGTATTATTCTTGAATGTGTGATGTCTTTAACTGAGTTTTCACTTATCATATTCAGTTTCTGTATTGTATTTATATGTGTTTAACTGTATTCATACAGTCAGTTACTACACTAACAATGATGCATACATCTAACAGAATACAATAGTTAATACTCTTTGTGTGGAGTCAAGAGTGGAGGGAAATACTACATCAGAGGTGTCGTGCAACATACTACCTATAGGCCAAGAGGGTGTATCCACAAATTACTATGTATCTCAATTTGAGCTGGACGATAAGTTTCTTCCCAATCAAATTCCAGAAACTAGAATTGTGATACACAATAGTGCAAAAAAAGTTGAATCAACCCCAGTACCATCTCATAGGAATCGACGACCAAGTAGATGATATTCTTCGCCTTACGAGTCTAACTTCGACTCCGCATGTTAGTGTTTTATAAACTAATGATTTATTTCCCTATGGTTTTTATCATTAAAAGTCTCTATTCATGAATTCAATGAACAACAGGTACCTCAGTAAAGTTGACCCCTATTTTTGAAAAAAGACACCCCTTTGAGGATGATTCAATAACTGGGCCACATCCTACATTAATCATTTAGGAATCCGACAAATGGGTTCGTGATGGTCTTCTCGCTAGACATGAACAGAAGTGCGTTTTTCCCCCGTATGTCTATTACGTATTTATATTTTTAAAAATGGATATAATATTTTTTTATATCATACTTGTAGAAGTAATTTGGAATACCATTACAAGAAGAACAAGTCAACACTTCATATACCATTGGATTTTGGAGTTGATCAAGTCAATTCAAAAAATTGGTTTTACCTTCTATCGTTTGACGGTAAACTATGGGATGACAATGTAAGTTTTACCCCTTCCAACTCCACTATAATTTATTTCTTTAGTATTGGTTTGTCTAATTATATAATTCACAAATTGAGCTCACACAAATTTGTCTTTCATTACTTTTATGTATTCAATTGTACTCAGATGTATCTTTTACATATGCTGTATTTAGTTGTATTCAAATTTATTTTAACATTACTCAGTAGTTGTCAATAACAAATGTATTTAACTGAATCTGTATGATGTATTTAATGGCATCATTATTGTTAAATAACTGTTGTATTTTACTGTATTCAGATGTATTTAAAAGATCTCAGTAATTGTAACCAATAGATGTATATCAGTACTATGTATTTAATTGCCTCATTAGTCTTGAATAACAACATGTAATTAAATGTATTTAGATGTATTTTAAAATTATTCTGTAGTTGTAAATAACATATGTATTTAACCGAATCTGTATGATGTATTTAATGGCCTCTTTATTTTTGAATAACTGATGTATTTAACTGTATTCAGATGTATTTTAATGTATTATTCTTGAATCTAGAACTGAGTTTTCACTTATCATATTCAGTTTCTTTTTTTTTTAATTTGATTCATTGCACTAACACTATGTAATTAAATTTGTGTATATCATATTAACGTCATATTCTACTATCTGAGAAAGAAGGGAAAGTACAACCAAACAAGCAACTTCAAGTATACAACTGTTGATTGTATATTCAAGACAAGAATCGCAGAAATCTTCGACAGGTATACTGATACAGATAGTAATGCAAATGTAGCCAAAGAAGAGGATGTGGGATGTGAGTACATAAGGGGCTATAGATTGCTAGCTAATGTACCTTGGCATACCGTTGACAATGTCTTAATACCAGTCAACTTGAAGGATAAACTACACTAGATATTGGCAGTTGTCTCATTCAAGGAGAGATGTATCAAAGTGTAGGACTCGTATAGATCTGCAGGTCATGATGCCTATGTAACTTCTGAGATAGATAAGCTAGCTAGGCTTGTACCTCTATATCTATCAATCAGAGGCTTTTACAGAGATAGTCAAGGCATAGATTGGTCTACTTACTTAGCATATACTGACAAGTCACATACTGATCCCTTTGAAGTTGTTTTCATATCAAATTTGCCTCAACAAAAAGCTGGGAGCATGTATGTATTCAATCATCATTCTTGTATCATTTTAAAACTCTAATTGTATGAATTATTTTTAATTGTTTCAATCAACATTTTTAGGGATTGTAGGGTGCATGTTGCGGCATACGCAGAGTTTCTGAGCACTCTTAATGAGATTCCACAAACAACATTTGATTCTAATCTACTCCGTCAAAGATATGGTGCTCTCCTCTGGGACTATGCTATGCGGAAGATAGACGCTGATGCCATAAGTGAGAATGAAGCACCCTCCAAGATTGCTAGGCAAATCACGGAGTTAGATTCAAAGTTACAGATAGTGTTAGAGTAGCTCTAGGTGAATGTAGTTTTGGAATATTGTTTTAGGTGAATACTGTTTTTTAGAATATCTTTTTGACAGAAGATGGTATTCAGTTAGAAAAACCAATGTTTTAATCACTTTATCAACAGTGTTCATGTATGACAATTGCAACTTTTCAATCTATGTTTCATTGTTTTGTTCATAAGTATTCATGCTTAATCTACAGTTTCTACTTCTATGTATCTTACAGGATGTATTCATATGTATTAAACAGGGCGTATAAATGTGTATTAATATCCAGTCACTTGGCTTATCAAAGTCATTGAAAGTCAGCAACTGTATGCTTCAAGTTTATCAAAGTCAACTGTAAATGTTGCTGTAAATGTACCTTGGCAACTATAAATGTTGCTAATACATTGAAATATCAAAGTCAATAACTGTATGCTTCAGGTTTTTACGTATGTACTCAACTTGATGTATTTATTTTACTTACCCAGGTTATATGTATTTATTAAAATTGTTATATTATAGCTGAGTATATAGTTGTATTCTGATGTATTTTGATTAGTTATGTATATACAACACAGGCACTGTCTATAATAAATTGTCTAAGTATATGCTGACAAGGTTGTATTCGAATGTATTCAGCACAATATTACAACTAAATGTATCCAGAATATATTCACGAAAGGTATTTCAAAATTTATTACTTCACAATGTCATTAGAAGTAATGACAAATCGTTGGAGCACTAATACATGTCAGAGTGTTAACTAAATCCTAAGTGGAGCATTTCTACATGTTCGCTTGTTATGTCCTCCCTGCCTACATATGCTACATGAATGTTGATTTTTCGGCTGCAGCAATTCACTGAAAGGTTTATCGCGCTTCTTCTTTGGCCTTCCAGGAGGTCTTTTCCATTTGGGTAGTAATACAACTTCCTCTGCAACATGTGCTGGTATATTCCAATTATTTCTGTCCAGTAACGGGATCTCAGGCACATCGTATGTCATTACAACAAAATTTAGTTTGTAATAGTTAGAGCAATAATTTTCTGGCATTAAAAACTTGCTCTTCAATACATCCCAAGCATGTGGGCATGGTAATTCATCAACTTTGAACCTCCCACAAACGCATTTTCTCTCTAATAGGCAGATGGTGTAGTGCCTCCCTCCACCGTTAACCGTATGTAAGTATTCAGTCGATGGTACCACCTACATTTAAACATAGATATATAAGTTTTGAGCACATACAAATGAATTTCTTTATGTATAATGCTGAATTATTCAGTTAAATATAGCTGAAATGTTTGAATACAAAAGAATACATCATATATGTAGACCGATAGTCTATAAACTATAATTATGTTTTAGCTTATGAATACAATGACATACATCAAACATCTGCTTAACTTAAGGCAGCTGAAAAGAAAATACATCTAAATACATTTAAATTCATGTTGTTATTCAAGACTAATGAGTTTATTAGGTACATAGTACTGATATACATCTGTTGGTTACAATTACTGAGAACTTTTAAAATACATCTAAATACAGTAAAATACAACAGTTATTTAAGAATAATGATGCCATTTAAAATAAAATTATAAGGCTATTGCATGACAATATAACTGAATACGTCTATCTAAAAAATTCTGTATAAGTTATTTCAGAAAACAATTAAGCTATCTAAAGAAATAGCTTAATATATGATACAATGACATTAAAATGAAACTTACAATCATGCGTGTAGACATTGCCTCATTCAAAGTCATCATCTCCTGGAATTTTTTTCCAAGCGTTGTGTATGCCTATGTAGCTTCTTTGCGGTTACTGCAATTCCAACGTCCAAACATCTTCCTAACTTCTTCGAGGAAGTCGTATATTGGCAATTCCCTTGCTGACACTAGTGTGGCATTGATTATCTCAGCAATATTTGACGTCATGGTCCATCCACTGTTAACAGGTGCATACAACCTAGCCCACTTTTCATATACAACTAACTCTAAGTATTATTTTACCCTAATATCTACCTTCTCCATCTTCTCTATCAGACTGTCAAATTCAGCTTGTGTGTATGCTTTCGCCATTGAGAAGTATATCTCGCTCAACTTTGCATGGCTCTTTTTTAATTTTTTATATACGTTGTTCCATAGATGCTATATACAGGCAAAATGCGGTACATCTGGATACACTCTCGATACAGATTTAATGATACTCTCAATTCTATCTGAAACGGTGCACATGTTTTCCCTGTCATCGTATGCTATCTTGAATTGCTTAAAGAACCACGTCCAAGCAGCATTGTTCTCTGAATCAATAACACCATATGCTAGTGGCAATATATGACCTGTAAAGACAATTGAATAATTATTTTTAAAACATGTATTCCAATCTTTAAAATATTAACAAAATTTATTATAATTCACGTACTCACCTGCACCATCCAACGTGCTTGTCGAGACAAATTTTCCGGTGTAGTAAGATTTTAGGTGACTTCCATCCACAACCACAATGGGTCTACAATGATCAAACCCCTTTATAAAGGCATACAAAGATATATACACATACATGAAATCATTTTTGGGCGATTTTACCATTCTGATGTGCGAACCTGGATATGTCATATCCATTGTATATAAGTATCCTGGTATTTTTTTGTATGAATCAGCTGGTTCACCTCTCAAAAAATTCATTGTCTTTTCTTTAGCCCGCCACGCCAACATGTAGCATCTACACCTAAATCTGATTTCACATTATCAATAATACCCTTTGGGGTGTATTTCTTCTTATGATTAGTAAGCTTAGGCCTAATCATACCACCTATAAGGCTGCTACTTGCCTGTCGTTGCTCATACACATTGTCCTTAAGCGGACATGTATGGTTATCGATGAACTCTCTCACTTTGAATAGTTCTGATTTGTTAATGCTCGAAGCCTTAAACCTCCATTCACAATCTTCTGACATACATAATAATGCATAGCTGCAAAGAATTTATCATTATACATATGATTAGCATAAATGTTTACCAAAAAATGCACTCATATACACATGAATACATTCTGATATCTATATATATAAATTATGATACAATTGAATACAATTATAGTTATATGCATTTAAATGCAATAAATACAACTAAATGCAATTATAGTTATATGCATACAATTAAATACAAACAGTAAACAAAATAGAAAATAATTAGAGCCACTGTAATGTAATTGTACCCGTAAAATTCATATGAATACATATATTTAAAGACCATAAACAAACAAATGTTAAACACATCAGTGAAGATCAAGTGAAAATCTACAAATACACATAAATACATCAACGTATAACTTACAACTCTAACCAATAATACAATATACAAAAGAAATACACTCAAACCTAACAACATTAGACCTATCAACCCGGAATTGAAACCTTTGAGATATAGCATAATTCTCCATCACCTCTTTCAATGTAGCCGTATCCTTATATACTTGGCCAACCATAATCTCCCTTTGATTAGTTTTTGAAATTATCAAATCTTTGTCCAATTCAAACACCCCAATTGCTTCTCCTGAATTGACAAAATCTAGAGCAAGCGTATCATCTGTACCGGAATCATACCTTTGGAGTGATTAGTCTATTTGCACAATATCGCCTTGAATTAAACTACCACCAGATACAAGTTCTTTTTCAATCGTTGTTATGTACAAAGGATACATCCCGAATTCTCTGTTCTCTTTTTTCAACTCTACATACACCATGTAATCCATGTCATTGTGTATTTCCATTGGCGTGCTATTCTCTTCTACTTTGTATTGAATTTTAATGGACTTTGAGCTCAAATCTATGCCAAGTTGATTAGAAATTGACGCAGCCAAATCATTATACGACGCATACTCCTTTATCAGTATTCCTTCAATTGAATATTCGACGTAATTGCTCTCACCGTTCCACTTCCCAGAATGACGCAACAACACCGTTAAACTTGCCATATGTATAATGGAATTATACCATATTCTGTATACAATTGTATCAATAGCACTATTTCATGGTTGAAAAGAGAACCGGGTACAGAAAAAGGGAGAACTAAAAATTCAGATGTTGCTCTAGTTTTCGCTATTTTTCTTGTTGAATCGTGAATGGAAGAATACAGATTTATGGGCAATAGTTTGTGTTAGTTGAGTTAAATTAGGAGAATATCAGGGAATTGATTTCCTTTCCATTTTAAACAAGTTCAACCTTCCATATTTTATGTGAAATACATTACTGTATTCACGATAACGACGTGTGAATACAGTTGAATACATCTCAAGCTTAGCCGGAATTCCGAAATTCATGCCTATTTTTGCTATTGTATTAATGAATACAATAGTTTAAATACATCAAATACATCTTTTAACCACAAAAAAGATATCTATAATCCGTAATATAGCAAAAGGTATTTATAAATGACTAATTACACCTAAAATATAGTGCTTTATGAAAATTTTTCTTAAATAAATAGGTCCAAATCTATTGGGCTAGCCCATTTAATTGGGCTAAAATGATGAGCCCACTTCATTAAGTCCAAGATGTCATCTTCCTAGAGGCCGAGTTTGGTGCCAAGTGTCAAATGACGTGGCGCGCCAAGTCAAACAGAAGAGCCAATAGGACCATGCCACGTGTCAAAATGATAAGGCATGCCAAGTCACATTAAAAGGCTAATGAAATCGTGCCACATATGCAAGTGACATGTTCTGGCCAATCAAATGCGTCCATGTCACACTTCCGTTTGATTGGTCGGAAAGAGTTTGTTCTTATCACAACTCCTCCCTTACACAACTATAAATAGGGGTCTTCATAACTCAAAAAAGACACCAGAAGTTATAACAAGAAGCAAGAGAGAACTCGTGGATCAAACGCCGCAAATTTCTCTATAAGTTTCAAGCTTCAAGCAATCAAATTCAAGCTCAAGAACGAAGAACAAATCAAGGTCAAGCTCAAGAACAAGATCATCGTTGATGGCAACAAACATAGATGCAAGATCAAGCTCAAAGGCCCTTGAATTTATTTACTATTGAAAAGAAGAATCAAAGGATTCATAGAGATTGTAACACACAAATTTTGAAATAAAATACTACGATTGTCACGATATTTTTCGGTCTTAATTTTATTTTGTTGACGCAAATTTATTGTCTACAGAAACAAGGAAAAGCTTTTGCTTCTAAAAATTATTTTAATTTGATTTCCGGAAAAGCAACTCTAAATTGTAAGCAAGCACTACGATTTCAGACTTACAATTTTTTCTGAAGAACAAAACAATGAAAAAGTTGTATTAATATGTATTTATTATACAATGTTTAAGAAATTAGGAAACTTCATTTGATTTTGATATGATTTCTTTTTGGAAAAAAAAACTGAAAAGTATACAAAGTTTGCGGGGGTCATATTAACCTCTAAAGTCCTAAACTTGTTCCAAATGGATCTGTTGCCCCTAGAAATGCAGGTGCTATAAATAGTTTAGTTCACTTCCATTTTAGAAAAGAATAGATGACATGACAGGACATGAATGCTGTAGGATCTCAATCTCATAACTGAGTCAGACCTCAGTTAAGAAAGAGGACCAATGCCTCGTTTGTTTGCACTTAATGAAGGTCTGAATCTTAATTATTCAAATCTTAGACATTAAGTGCGTTTATTTTTAAAGTCTAAATCTTAATTATTTAGATCTTAATAATTAAGTATGTTTATTTTTTTTACTTCACAACCAATTAATGGGTCTGAATAGGTCTGTATGATTAAGATCTATAATAGAGACTTAATTTCATTAAAATGCTACATATTCATTATTAACTACCTCCACCGCTTACCATTATTATCTACTATCACCATCACCATCACCACCATCCTCAATCATAGCCGCCACCATTATCGACTACCACCACTATCATTCTCAATCACATCCAACACTCATCCACCTCAACTACCACAACTAGCCACCCCATCACCATCAACAATCATAGCTTGCACCATCCATCATTATAAACTGCCACCACCCACCACCACATTCCTCAATCATAACTATCACCACCACCAGCCATTATTAACTATCACCACCCACCACCGTCATCCTCAATATTAATCGCCACCACTACCAATCACCACTAACTACTACCCTGAACCACCACCATCAACCAAAATTATCACCAACCACCGCCTCTAGTCGGCATTTACAAGTATTGCCATTAGCCATTACCACCAGCAACTACCATATATATATATATATATATATATATATAGGTTAGTGATAAAATATTAGATTAATTAGTATTTCATTTGAATTTTGTGTTTATTAATTTTCAAAAAAAGATAAATTTTGTGCATTCAGATGTTAAAAATCAAACAGTCTTAATCAGATAGTATTGAGATCTTCATACACATCATAATATTCAGATGTGTATTCAGATTCAGACGTCTTAATCTTAAAAAAAAGTATATAGAAAATACACCTCCTATTCATTGTGATCCAGGCTGGTGAATGCATAGTTAGGCTTAAAGAAGAAGGGCCAAGTTGTATATGATTTCGTGGCATTGCTTCAATTGGTCATGAAAAGTGTGTATTTGAAAGTTAAGTGTAGTGTATTAAAGTGTTTAGGAGGATTAGTCACTATACCCAAAATATATCCTACCCATCCCTTAGCCTACATTACAACCCGTAAAGTCCTAATTGATCTTAAAGTTTGCGAGCTTAGATTAGTGGAGATATAACTACGGGCAAGTCTATGGTACAATCATGGAATGCACATGAATTTCTTTGTGAGAGTGAGTGGTTCTTTGTTCATATATGTGATGTCCTTAAATTATATTCAAATGCATATTTGAATGTGTGGACGAAATACCCTCTTATTCTGTGGTGAGGCACATGATTCTATGATGGATAGGTGACGTTATTAAACATCTCTTGTTGGGTAAGTGCACGAATTGAGAGTGCTTATTGGCGACGAGTCGGTCTTTGAGGTTGGGTAGATATGGGCAGGTTGTTTGAGTGTTTTTAATTGGTCACTAATATTCCAACATATGAAAGTTGGGAAAGGTATGAATGCGTATGCAAGGGCT